TTTGAAAAGAAGAACAAGTCCTAAAGTAATTGATAACCACAATAACAAAAACGAAAACAAAATAAAACAGCCTATCTTAACTAGTATAGCCGTGGATGAATCAACCAGAGCATCGAAAAAATCAAACATGCTGCGGATTAGATTCATAGAGTAAGACTGAGGGTGATTATTAATCTCCCCTCTCGTTAATTCCACTAAGAACGATCTCCCCTTCCGCGCTACAACACTTACTATGAGATTAACAGTATCAAGCTCGTCGTCTGTGATCCCTTCAGGAAGTATGACTGTATAATCCTCTTCAGGCAGAGTCATAAGTTGAGCCAAAGGGTCGGGTTGTGCACCTGTAGCAGCATCGTCATTAGCTTCAAGTCCATGTTGATTCTGAGCTTGATATTCATAAAGTTTGTGTTTGTAAAAAGCATGGAAACGATCTGAGCTGTTCAAAAACATGAATCTAGCATTCTTGAGGTTGGAAGCTATAATCCTGTTTTCAATCTCCAACCCGTGTTTGCTAATAAACTTAGCCGTTTTCTCGATAATAAGCCTTACATATGGAGGTGGTATCTGCGTAGCTCCGAACATTTTCTGCAATCAGAAGGAAAGAAAATATAAACGTCAGATTCATTGGCTTAGTTCTACCCTAGACACTATCTAGGGCCACTGCGGGAATAAATTTTGAAAACGATGAATCTTGCCACTGTAGAAGGTAAAATCCTGAGACTATTCTTATGATGTGTCTTTGTAGACTTTGTAGTGAGTTCGGAATGTTATTTTACGAATTGATAAAAGCAAATAAAGGCGTTAGTCATGTCATCAATATGCAAGAGAAAGAGATCGAAAGGAAGCATATAAAGATGAATCGGCAACGCAAGGACTACGTTAGGGCTTTGGCGAGAGAAAATAAACAATACCTTACCCCGCCAATAAAAGCTCTACGCCGATGATTTGATAGAAATCGATAGAACCGTCATTATGTTTTAGAGGAACGAAGTAGGCCCTCCGGAGCCCTAGAGTTTAATTAACGATAAATGTATTTTAATTTGCAAATTTATCTTACTAAATAGAATCGATCCAGTTTTTTTCCATTCGATGAAAAAGTCAATCCTTCCAAAATATCTTTAAGTTTACAAAGAAAATTTAACTCTCATTAATAACATTTTAGTCATTTGGTTTTGGGCAAGGAAAACTTAGGTTCACCTCCTCTAGTGAACTTCCTAATTCACCTCGCAAGTTATTATCAATCAAAGTACAATACAGATTACTAAATAAAAATTTGTTAAAACTCAAAAGAAAAAAAAAAAAGGGTGAAAAAAAGAACGACATCAAGTTAACGACTTTAAAAACATCAGCTAAACTCAAAATGTTAGACCCTAAACTAAACCAAAACATTAAACCTATACCTTAAACCCAAACCCTAGGTCCTAAAACTAAGCCAAAACCCTAGACCCAAACCATAAATCCTAAACCTAAACTCTAAACCCAAGTCCTAGACTTTAAATCCAAACTTTAAATCATAAACCCTAGATTGTAAAACTAAACTTAAATCCTAAGCCCAAACCCCAAATCATAAACTTTAGACCCTAAACTTAAACCTAAACCTAAATCCTAAACCCAATCCCTAGACTTTAAATCCAAAATCTAAATCTTAAACCTTAGACCTTAAACTCAAACATAGACCTTAAACCCAAACTCTAAAGGAACAACGTGGAGACTAATACCAACATTAGAGTTTAGGTTTAGGGTCTAAGGTTTAGTGTTTTAAGTTTAGAATTTAGACTTTAGTGTTTAGGGTTTGAGTTTAAGGTCTGGGGTTTGGATGTTTAGTATTTAGGATCTATGATTTAGGATTTAGGGTCAGTGGTTTAGGATTTAGTTCTAGGATTTAGGGTTTGAATTTAAGGTTTAGATTTAGGGTTTGAATTTAAGGTCTAGAGTTTAGGTTTCTGGTTTGAATTTAAGTTCTAGGGTTTGGGTTTGAATCTAAGGTCCAAAGTTTAGGTTTATGGTTTAGGTTTAAGTAGGGTCTAGTGTTTAGGATTTAAGATTTGGGCTTAAGTTCTGGGGTTTGAGTTTACGGTTTACGGCTTAGGTTAATTAGTATTGGGGTCTATGGTTAAGGATTTAGGGTTTGGATTTAAGGTCTAAGGGTTTGGGTTTAGGATTTAGAATTTAGGTTTAGTTTTAGGGTCTAGATTTAAGATCTAAGGTTTGGGTCTAGATTTATGATTTAGGGTTTGAGTTTAAATGTCTGTGTTGTTCTTTTTTCACTTTCTTTAAAAAAAAATTAAAATTATTTTAATTTATTAAACCTTGTAACATTTTGATTCATGATAATATGTGAGGTGAATTAGAAGGTTCACCATATATGGTGAACCTAAGTTTTGTTCGTTCAACCCTAGCTGCCAAGAGAGAAAAAGAGAGATTTGTTATTGTTTCAAGCCGATGGTTCGAGGCTTCTACGGGTCCATCATTGGCTTGTTTAGTTTTATTTGCTTCTCAGTCTTTGATTTTTTTTTGTTTCTGATCAGTTGATTTTTTTGATTGCCATTTTATTTTGAATTTTGGCAAAGTTTTTTTATTGCACTTTTATATGTTTCTTCCAATAGATTGGGAAGACAAAATCCCCAGTTCAATTGAATATTATGGAAAAGATAATTGATGGATCTATAATGGATGGTGGCAACATGTCTTACCGGCTTCGATCCTTGATGGTTCTTCTTTTGATGGTGATGAAGTTCTTGCTGCAAACTATCGTTACTAGGAAAGGTAGTATGAAATTATATCGAACAATAATCTCTTTGACTATGTTATTATCAATAGAGAAATATAAGAGTTGTATTCTCTTGGTGGCTCTTACTGGAGTCATAAAAATAGGATGATAATCGTTCTCAACTCAGTTTAAAGCGTGGTGTTTTTGGATTAATACGAAGATTATCTTCATTGAAATTCAACTATTTCATAAGCAAATATGGAGTTTTTATATGAAAATCTTTAGTCATCCATACGCAAATAGATGTGTTAGTTTACTTTGGATCCTTACTGGTGTATCCATTTTCTATATTTTTTTTGCTAATTCTCATTTGATATCACTCAAATATTTAGCCCTAAGGAGTGAATTACTCTCTCAAATAAGAGGTTCACTTGTAGTACTTAGGGATCGAATCCACGAGGAGCTAAGGAACCTAATAGATCTAATAGTTATAAGATTAAGCTAGGTTAATAATTTTTAATGCAATAAATATATTAGTAAACTAGAAAACAGTAAACAAGATGAACAAGGTAATTGTTCAGATTGGCAAGGATTTGTTTTATGGAAGGATGGTGGCTATATCTAGGGTTTCTATTCAGGTAATCAGGATTATAATGCTATAGATGGCTAACAAGTTGCATGCATGATATTAAAGAGCTTCAACTCTTAGATGAATCTATCAGCTTTCCCAGTCTAGACTCGTCCATTGATCTGATGCCGACAATATCGATCGATATCACTGTCGTTACATCGATCGATATATACTTGTCGTCGATCGATTACCCTATAGGAGTATTGATCGATATAACTTCAGATCGAGTTGAAATAGTGCCCACAAAGATCATAGACCGGCTATCTCTCATCCCTAGAGGATCTTAGCTTGTACAAGATGATATTAGGATGAAGATTAATAAATTAAGCTATTCCAGTTCATTGTTCTAGTTCATGACTCTAGAAACAAGCATTAAGAACATCCTAACAATGAATATCACAACCTATCTGAACCCTAAATCCAACAGGTGGATCTATTCAGACATGAAGATTGTCACAGAAATCATAGATGAATAGATATACAACTAAAATAGAACAGATATAGAAACTTATGGAGTTCCAGGAGGACTCTGATAGGAGTTCCTCCCTTCTCTCCTAACTAAGATGAAAAGAAAACTTAGTCTGTAAAGCGTAGCCGTTAACAATGGCTTAGAAATAACATAAATAGGGTTTCAAGTCTTCAAGGGTATTTTGGTAACTTGTGGGCTTCAGTCGGTTATGAAATATAGTCAGCCCACGTTCTGGCATTCATATCGATCGATATGAAGGCTTTCCCATCGATAGATATACATTCCTCTTCTCGACAGCCTTCTCTCGCGAGGCAGACTGACCACTCTTCAAACAAAAGGGCATAACTTCTGATATAACCATTGGATTGACCTCAAACCGGTGGCATTGGAAAACGAACTCAAATCTCTATCTTGTGTCAAAAGATGGGCTCAATCGCACCATAGGAAGGTCTCCATACAAATCTAAACATCTGACGCTTCTGCGCAGTTCTGCACTTAAAGGCTCCAAAAGACACCAAATCACCATATTTCTCCAGAACATACATGAACCTGTAAATACTCTAAATAGACTTTATATTGTAGTAAATATATATGAAAACAACTATAAACCATGGCTAAAAATAGGTAAAATCCATGGTCGATCAACTCCCCCAGACTTACTCTTTTCCTTGTCCTCAAGCAAAACAAATAGGCAGTCTCTCTGAAAGAGGTTTGATAACAATAGGGACTAAAAAGATTTTAAAAACTCAGTCACCATTTCTCTAGTAGTGCAAACCAAATCATAAACATTCTAACCTTAGAAGCACATTATACAATATCCTAGTATAGCAACCAAATTCACCTAGTCAACAACTCAACAGATCATGTCCGACAATCCCTTCTACTAACCTCATTTCTTACATAAAATAAAAGTGCAGGCTTTACCCTGGGAATATCAATCAAAGGACACGTGGACTCTCACTCCAGTAGATATCTGAGTAAATAGGCAGTCTTATTATGGTTTCTTTTCTCCCTATATCTTCCTTCTCTGAATCCCAAATTTTCTTCTTTTTTTTTATTATTAACAATCCCAATGAACAACAAATGCTCATCTTATTGATCTTTCTACTTTTGTAGCTTTTTCTGGCAAAGTGTAGGCGAATAGTGGGGTCATGGGTAATGTACCTCTCCCTCGCTTCCACAATGTGTGATCATTCCTTTGAATTAGAATAGTGGGGACATGGGTAATGTACCTCTCCCTCTGCCTCTCAGGAAATCATATAAATCTTATTTATATTTTTTTTTATGGGATGCCAAAGGAAGGAGAGAAGGAAACCAAAATCACAAAGACTTTTACCTTTCAAATCTGAAGGAGGAATCCGATCTAGTGTATACCAATCCCCAAGACAAGCAAATCAAGTCAATATTAGGTTGTAGGTCAGCTTTGGTTCCTTCAAACATTCTCAGCAAGTGCAAACATAGTTGACAGGTTGATCCACTTTAGTATCTCGAGTACTTCTACAATCAGTAAATCTAAGACTGGTCTAAAGAGTGGTTAGATGACAGGTAATAAATCGAAATAGATCATCATCCCTTCTTGACTCAATAAAAACTTTTTGAAAATATTGTAAATAAGACTCATAAAGTAGATAAACTTTAGTAATCCCCCCAGACTTAAATTACACTGTCCCAAGTGTAACACAGTCAGTGGTAAGGTGAAAATCATAAAGCAGAAGTACAAAATTTAACAAGTAAGAACGATATACATGACCGGATTAAGTATCGATTGATGA